CATGAGGGAGCTGTGAGGGGGAAACCATGAGGGGAATGTGGGGGAATCATGAGGGGACAGTGAGGGGAAGGTCAGGGGGGAACCGTGTGAGGAGACACTGAAGGGACAGTGAGGGGGGAAGCGTGAGGGGAACATGAGGGGACAGTGAGGGGGGAAACGTGAGGGGAATGTGAGGGAATCATGAGGGGACAGTGAGGGGAAGGTGAGGGGGAAACCGTGTGAGGAGACGCTGAAGGGACAGTGAGGGGGGAATCCTGAGGGGAACGTGAGGAGATTGGGAGAGGATCGTGAGGGGACAGTGAGGGGAATGTGAGGGAAGTGTGAGGGGATCATGAGGGGAATGTGAGGGGATCGTGAGGGAATCAGGAGAGGATCGTGAGGGGACAGTGAGGGGATCCTGAGGGGAATGTGAAGGAATTGGAAGAGGATCATGAGGGGATCATGAAGGGAATGTGAGGGAACTGTGCGAGGGGAACCATGAGGGGAAGGTGAGGAGAACGTGAAGGGATCATGAGGGGACGATGAGGGGAATGTGAGGGGGGAGCCATGGGGGGAATGTGAGGGGATCGTGAGGTGTCAGTGATGGGGGAACCATGAGGGGAATGTGAGGGGGATGTGAGGGGAGAACCGTGAGGGGACATTGAGGGGATCGTGAGGAGAACTTGTGAGGGGACAGTGAGAAGATTGTGAGGGGATCGTGAGGAGACAGCGAGGAGATCAAGAGGTGAGCGTGAGGGGACAGTGAGGGGATTGTGAGTGGGGAACCATGAGGGGACACTGAGGGGAACATGGGGGGACCCAGGTGAGGGGAGGCTGGATTGAGGGAGGGTCACGGAGTCTGGGAGGGGTTCTGGGGCTCCGGGACAGGTAAGAGGGGGGTCTGTGGTGGGGTCCAGGTGGATCCAGGTGTGCAGGGCGGGTCTGTAGGGGGATCCAGGTGGATCCAGGTGTGCAGAGTGGGGCTGTAGGGGGATCCAGGTGGATCCAGGTGTGCAGAGTGGGGCTGTAGGGGGATCCAGGTGGATCCAGGTGTGCAGGAGGGATTGTAAGGGTGTCCAGGTGTGCAGGGTGGGTCTGTCAGGGGTCCAGGTG